CAGATTTTCTCGCAATTGCGCATTGTTTCATAATCGACATTTGCTCCCAGACCCAGAATAAAAATTTGGACTTTTTTTTTCTCAGAAAATGCTCCTAATTTTCAACCTCGGAATTTGCTCCCAAACCCTAAATTTAGGGAATTTTCTGGAAAAATTACGAGCAAATTTCAATTCCGGCTATTGGAGAGTTCCGGAATTGAGGGATTCTGGCTAACAAAGATATTACTGTATTTAGACATGATATACTGTAGTGATGGGGATTCCATTCTTTTAAATAAAAAAATAAGAAATGATACCGGAGCTGTATTTATTTAAGCAAACATCACTGTACACATACAATATTGTTAATACTGGAAACAATATGTATTGTACTACCTATGGTACTATTCTGTATACAGGTACTCCTCGACTTACGACCTACTCTACTTACGACCACCCGGACAAACGACCACCGCAGTTGTATAAAATATTTTTAAAATTACGTATTTTTGAGTCCCAACGTTAGTGATCGCGCTGTGTACTGACAAAATTTGCGTTTGTATTTCCCTTTAAAATGGCTGGCAAGCATGAAAGTGAGAGTTCTCGTGGTGCTGAGAAGAAAAAGAGACACCCATTTTAGATTTTTTATGTATTATTTTCGCATTTTCGACTTACGACCAATTCTACTTACGACCTGGTCGTCGGTCCCTAACCCCGTCGTAAGTCGAGGACTGACTGTATACTGTACTGTACTCACCATCAGAAGCTGTTGTCTTGAGGCAGACACTGCTCATATCTAAATACTTGCAATGGAGGTTGGGTTGGGGATTAGTGGGTCATGTTACTTGATGCAATGTCAGGCCATCCATTGTTGGGTGGGGGATTAGTGGATCTCATGACCTGAAGATGTCTTGAATAGAGATGAAAGCTTAGCAAGGGCGGATCCAGGGGGGTCCTGGGGGTCCGCCCTCCCGGTTTTCATCAGAAAAGTCCAATACTTTTTCTTTTATATAGTACTGTATTGTACTTGGGCATTTTTTGTATAGTAAAAAGTAATTACTATTGACCTCAGAATATCTCCTAATATCAAGTGCACATGGCCTCAAAATGCCCATGATATTGATCAGATTTAGAAAAAATTTCTGGGGGGCTTACAACGCCTCCCAAAACCCCCAACTGGCTGGGCTTGCTTTGCTTGCCATGTTTCCCCACCCACAAATTCTTGGATCCCCCTGTTTTGATATTCCAGGATCTGCCCCTGCTAAGGTAGTTTTTAGGTTCAAGGCTGCTAGCAAAAAAAGTATATAAAATTTTATTCACAACATCTGCTCTAATTGTGTTAGAGAAGTGGTTTTTGTACCATTGCATATATGGAGACACATTTCTGATGACTTAATTTTTTACCTATGAGATATACATATACTGTAACTGTATTGTATAAGAAAGGTGCAGGTAGAGGGGGTCCCTGAGTTATGAACTGGTTCCATAAGTCTAAACACATGCTATATGCATACTGTACTTACAAAACAATGTTTAAAATCCCACTATATCATAGCCTAAGTCTTTTTATACTGTATATCTAAAATCACTTAATTTAAGAGAAAAGAAGAAATAGAATGACAACATATAGTTAATGAAAGTAAAAAATAAGTCATCAAGTAAATATAATACTGTAAATTTAAAGTTTAACCTTGTTCATATCGGCGGGCATTCGTAAGCCGGATGTTCGTAAGTCGGGGACCCCCTGTATTAAAACTCTTGTAGTTTTCATATGCAAAATTGCTTCTGGTCTAAATTATCGCTTTAGGATTTTCATACTTAATTTGCGTATGAAGTAAAAAATTTAAATAAAATAATTTTATGTTTGTGTATGAATGCTAGACATGCAAAGAATCACATTTGATAACACCAGTGCAGTTTGGCAACTGTGTTGACTATACTTCAAGATCACACCAGTCTCTCTTTTGTGTTTAAATGACCCAGGATATATAATGTTGACTTACATATCCAACGCATTTTCTTGCGGCTGGTGTTGATTTCTTGTACTTCACAGTGATTTAATTGATTTGTAGCAGTACAGTATTGTGAGAGTTTTGAACCATGCCTTGTGTTGCTGGCTAGGGTGGAGGGGTGGGAAAAAGTAAAAAGTGCAATGAGATTGTACCAACACCACGTGGTAATAGTATAGTGCCTCCTGATGCCTTTCCCTGGCAAAATATTAATTTTTGCAAGTTTTCTTCTATTAGTATTTTTTCCTAAATATGTACTTTTATGGTGGAATACAATTCATATTGCAATCACATGAAATAACAATGGTGTAAAGTGATGTACTGTATAAACATTTTCATTAAGCGTAAACATAAAATTTGTGTTCTACTCGCACTTATGTATAGAAATAATTATTTTATTGTGATTATTTATGTAAAAATATTTGTAGATTATTTATTTCCAATGCTAATGCAAAAATCCCACCTTTTTATCACAAATAGCAAGCTCGCTATGATTATTACATACAATTATCTATCGTGTGGCGCAGTCAAGTGCAGTGAGGTGAGTAACAGGCCAGACCCCAAGCATCTCAAGGGAGAGCACGTCCCCAAACCCATGAGTGTAAATAAGCACAGATTATTACTGTAACGTATCTTTACTAATTATTGAATAACAAAGAAACAATATTGTATCATGAATGACAAATTGAGTGAGGCTGGAGTCGGTGACAAGCAATGCATCCAGTCACTTTTACCTCCATCAGTCACTTACCAATTTCCCTCCTTACCATAATGATCCTAAATAAAACCTCTACATGACATTTCCAATAAGATATCCTTAAACAAAATATTTGGACATGATACAATGATAGGGATTCCATTCTTTTATAAAGAAATGTAAGAAATGCTGATACGGCAGTCAATAAAATCAGTTCTAATTAAGTTAACCACACCATTATATCCTGAATACTTTATCTAAAAATTTGGTTAAATAAATACATTTAAAAAAACAAAAGGTCTGTATAATATATGGGTGTGAATGAAGCTGTGTCTTACAGTAAAGACAGTAGTATTTTCCACTCTTAACAGGAAGATTTCCCCGAGTCAAAATGACGCATCTTGCAGCAGCTGTATTTATTTACACAAATGCCACTGTGCATGTACAATATTGTTAATATTGAAAACAAAATAATGTATACAACTGCTATGCTGTATTTACTGTACTCACCAGCTGATGCTGTAGACTTGAACCTTGAGTAGGCAGACACTGTTCACTCAGCTGAATGTACAGTGGTCCCTCGGTTAACGAATGGTTCAATTAACGAAATTTCGGTTAACGAATTAGCTCCCATAAGGACTTTCAGTTCGATTAACGAACAAAACTTCGATTAACGAAATCCTTACGACAAACACGCTTTGTTGTGCGCATCAGTTGATCAGCTAGTCCGCCAATACAGTAATTGGTTCAATGTTTACATTCGTTTCCAGTGAAGTAAGTATCAAGAAAGTTGGTCTCTTGAATATTTCTGCATTTTTTATATTAAAATTATTGGTCATTCTGAAATTTAGTTAACATATTGATAATATAGACAGTACAGGGAATAGATTTTGTGCGCCCATCAGCTGATTGAATCACCCAACAACGCTTCTCAGTTTAACTTTGTTTAAAGTGGAGTGAACATCGATTTTGTTGGTCTCTTCAATATTTTTGCATTTTTACATTAAAATTATTGGTCATTCTGAAATTTAGTTAACATATTGATAATATACACTGCAGAAATTATTATGAAACATGAAGAAGGCATTAGAACCAATGCACTCTGTAAAGAATATGACATGTCATCATCGACTGCCTCTACAATCAGCCGTTTGATATGTAAACAAAGCTGCCGGGAATACAACATAAACACTTCAAAGTAAGTTAAAGTACTGTATTCTATTGTTTTTTATTTATTATTATACAGTATACTGTACAGTACAGTACTGTATTTAGTTTATATTTAATGTTTTGTTAATTCTATTACTGGTATATAGTACTTTGTATGTACCTTTTCTGTGAGTTGGAACCAATTACCGAGGGACCACTGTAATACGTAACGTAATCATGCCTTAACATTGCGATGGAGGTTGAGTGGGAGATTAGTGTTTCATGTTACTGATCTGACCTGATGCAATATCAGGGGGGGATTAATGGGGCTTATGACCTGAAGAGGTCTTGAATAAAGACGAAAGCTAAGGTGCTCCAGTGTTTCCCACGTACTGAATGTACAGTACAGTACAGTATATGTAATTGTAATCACTTTTTTATGTTCTTAACACTGCCTAGTACTGCACAACACAAATTGTACACAAATTCAGCAGCTAGCGAGAGAACGACCTTCTACAATGGCAGCAGAGTATGAACTAAGCACTCGAAACAGCTGGGCCACCCACATTGCCTGGTACGCGGGGATGCATTGGAGCATGATGCAATCTCTCTGAATGCCCTGAAAATTTATTCCCAGGCCCAGAATGGAGTGATTTGGAGAGACTTTATGTACATTTTCTTAGAATTTTCCCGAAAATGCACCTGATTTTCAACCTCAGAGAATAGTTCACAAAACTGGAATTGAGAAAATATTTTCCAAAAAAATTCTGAGCAAATTTCAATTCCGGCTATTGGAGAGTCCGGGCTAAGAGGTATTCCGGCTAAAGGAGATATTACTCTGTAAATATTTTATCACCTGGTGCTACTTTAGAATGACCTGTTGATAAGCCAGCCAAAGTTTACAATTTCCCAGTAAACTCATAAACCTTGTGCTACTGGAAGTAATCACAAGAACACTCACCTCATGCAACAAGTGTCACTTAAATTCGTTCGTAGCCACTAATGTTTAGGTCATCTGGATCTCCAATCTGCAATCTTAGTGAGTACTTTGCATGACTCCCTTAATGCTGGTGAGGGGGGGGTGGGGGGGGTACTTGTACAGTACTCTAATTATGGAAACATTTTAGAAGATTTTATACAATGCTATTTGTTTTATTTACCAACAGACTCAACCAGTAGTCGGATAAGTGACCAGAGCATGAGCTCAGGATATAAATCACAAAGACAGGACACCAGCTCCACCAATGTCTCCAATACTCTCTCCACTACTCCTTCTCCAACCACTAGTCAGCACCAGCAGTCCTCTAACAGTCAGGTAGGTTTGATTTTTAATAAAAAGCAACAAGATTGCCTGGTAAAGGATTTCTCTTTCTTTCTTACTATAGCTACAAGCTACATTTTGACTACAGACATCCACTGGTCTATTACATAAGCTTCAATGGCAGTGCACTTAAAAACAATGTACAGTCAGCCAAAGATCCAGCAACCCCACCCTGGGTCTCATATTGGCAATTTTACCTGGCAATACTTGGTAAAGTAAGGATGTATGTAAAGGTGATTGTGTTTGATGCTATTTTCGGCTGTATCACTGTCAGGATAAAAATTAAACAATCCAAAGGTAGAATTTTTATTATAATAATAATAATAATAATAATAATGTTACGACTTTGGCCTCTGAGGTTGTAACAATGCAATTCAAATTCAACTCCACTTTGTATTATTCTTAAAGTTGAGTTAACTCTATCATTATAGTTATCTTTGTATCGAAGGTCCAAGCAATAGATCCCATCACAGTGATCACCTCATTACTATGGGGTATATTGAAAATCATGAAGTACATTTAATTACATATATTAACAAACAAAAAATAAATATATCAGTTATGTACTAAAATAAAACAAAGACAAACTAAATCTGATCAAACAAGTGACTCAACCGAGTGTCAAAATAATATTCATAAAAGTAATGACTAAACACTTATTGAAATTAACAAACTACTGTGGACAACGTGGTTATCCAACACAAGTAACTCATAAACAAGTAAGTTATTTTACCGTGGAATTCTAAAATATGACTACCCACACTCTTTCATATAAATCACTATATAATACTTGGTGTTCTTAAAAGTTGAGCAAGGTTTACACATTATACCACTAGAAATATACAATAGGAGAGGAGATACTTATCTTTTGACTGCCAGCCCAATACTAAAGCCACCTGGCTCTGAGAGGTAAAACTAAGTGAGCAGAGGTGGGCAGAAATGACGTCACAAACAAAAGACGTTCAAGTTGCGAATCCGCAAATAACTATCAAACGCTCACTCATTCACTAGTATTCAAGGCTAATACAATAAACAATACTTTGTTTTACCTAACACATCGAAACTAATGTTACTACATTGTAAATATAACATATAATATTTAAATTTTAACTGCTTCAGTGTCCACACAACGAATCATTCGAAGTTCATATGCCGACCAGTTATCTATTCATTGGTTCTTATTCCGACACTTGTAACAATAATAATAATAATAATAATAATAATAATAATAATAATAATAATAATAATAATAATAATAATTGTGACCAAGTCCCAGGTTGCTGATCTGACTTTCTGCCACAGTTACACACAATTGCAGGGTCTCAATTGTTTCTCTTACTTTGAGAACACAACATACATATATTGTTTCTCACTATTGATCTTTTTTTTATGGTCCTGTATTATTATTATTATTATTATTATTATTATTATTATTAGTAGTAGTAGTAGTAGTAGTAGTAGTAGTAGTAGTAGTAGTAGTAGTAGTAGTATTGTTATTATTATTATATATTTTTATTTAAATTTTTATTGAATATTTTTTCATTTTTTTCTTTGTTTTTATTCATTATTATTACTGTATTATTATTATTTATTATTATTTTTTTTTTTATTTACCCCCAGGCCCTGATGTGGGTAATTGACCTGTTCTCTGTTGGGCTAATCCCATAAAAAAAAAATAAAAAAAATAACTGCTATTTAAGATCTTGGGAAGTTTCCAAATGTTCGTATACAGTGGTCCCTTGATTAACGAACGGTTCAATTAACGAAATTTCGGTTAACGAATTAGCTCCCATAAGGATTTTTAGTTCCATTAACGAACAAAACTTCGATTAACGACAGCCTTACGAGAAACATACTTTGTTGTGCGCATCAGTTGATCGGCTAGTCCGCCAATACAGTAATTGGTTCTATGTTTACATTTGTTTCCAGTGAAGTAAATATCAAGAAAGTTGTGCTTTTGAATATTTTTGCATTTTTTATATTAAAATTATTGGTCATTCTGAAATTTAGTTTACATATTGATAATATATATACAGTATAGGGAACAGTTTTTGTGTGCCCTTCAGCTGATCGAATCACCCACCAACGCTTCTCAGTTTAACTTTGTTTACAGTGGAGTGAACATCGAGTTTGTTGGTCTCTTGAATATTTTTGCATTTTTACATTAAAATTATTGGACATTCTGAAATTTAGTTTACATATTGATAAGATACAGTGCAGAAATTATTATGAAACATGAAGAAGCATTAGAACCAATGCACTCTGTAAAGAATATGACATGTCATCATCGACTGCCTCAACAATCAGGGGTTTGATATGTAAGCAAAGCTGCCGGAATACGACATACAGTGACCCCTCGTTTAACGAACGCCTCGGTTAACGAAATTTCGGTTAACAAACTGCCTTCCGTAAGGATCTTCAATTCAGTTAACTAACAAAAATTTGGTTAACGAATTTCTTACGAACCGACCTCAACATGTTTTCGCTTGCACTGACCGGGCAACCAGCTTTAGTATCAGTCCGCCAATACATTAATCGGTTCTAGGGCTTAAATTCCTTACTATTTTAGTAAATATCAAGAAGTTTATACTATTCAATAATTTTAAAAGTTTAATATTAACTTTTTTAGTCATTTTAACAATTATTGAACATAATTGAAGGTAAAGAAACTAGTTTCTGGCGTGCCATCCAGCCTGTTAACACACCAGACAGGCGTTAGTCTCTCTCTGTTTTCAGTGGAGGTAACATCTTGCTTGAGACTCTCTTCAACTCAACGCTTTTTTTCTGTGTTTCCAAGCAAATTATTGGTCATTTTGAAATATATTTTACATAGTGACAATATATAATGCAGTGCAGTGTTGATTTAAAGAAAATAATCTTGAAATACACCAAGACAACTAAAATTTTATGGATGAAATGGTGCCATGGGGTGACTTCTCTTCCACCCCAATGCCTTTTCTTCTTCCTTCTCCTCCACCCCCATTCTAATTCCCATCATCATCATCATCATCCAGGAGCCTTCTACATACACACCTCAAAGTAAGTGAACTTTTCTACCATTTTTGTTGAATTTAGGAAATTTTCGGTGAGCTGGAACCAATTACCCAAAAACCCATTGAAACAATGGTTTCGGTTAACGAACTTTTCGGTTAACGAACGACCTTCTGGAACGGATTGAGTTCGTTAACCGAGGGGTCACTGTACACACCTCAAAGTAAGTTAAAATACAGTAGTATTCTATTGATTTTTATTTATTATTGTACAGTACAGTACAGTCTGGATTTACTCAGTTTTTGTTTGCGCGTTTGGTCATTTACTCGCTGCCTTGCCGGAATGAAAATGTTTTAATTACGCGGTAAATTTGGTCATTTTCGCGGCGAGCGGCTGGAGGTCCAGACGCGCCGCGCCATATTTTATTCACGCGGTGCATTCTTGACCATACGCGGGAAGCGGAGCGGATATGGGTGGGCAGTATGTCGTTGTTGCGTTATCGCTGACGTCATATGACGTATGGGACTGTGATTGGGTCACTTATCTTTACCTCCCTCTGCCACTAGCTGTGATTGGTCTAATGTTATATGACGTGGCCTGGCACGGGAGAGAAGCTACTGACCTAGCCGCGTCAGTCTCATTGTTCTCAGTCACCGCGTATACTGTTCTCTCTTGTGCCCGCTAATCTGTTCAACAATGGCTTCCGCTGGACCCCCACCACCCCAGAAAAACCTTGCATTACCTGGACCCTGCCGCCCCAAGCCCAAGAAGATACAATGTGCCCTAAGTTACGAAGTTAAGTACAAAATCGTGCAAGAGTTGGAGAAAGGAACGAGACAAGTTGATTTGGCGCGCCAGCATGGCGTGAACAAATCTACGATCCGGACGATCAAGAAGGATGCCGCCAAGATTAGAGAACACATGAGCATCACAAAGTCTGCAGGTGCTTCAATGGTGAAGTATTGTCAGAATAAGGTGCTGTTCAAGACTGAGAACTTACTGGTGAGCTACTTAATTCGTCAGGCAAGACGTAACATGGCTGTGGACACGCGGGCAGTGCAGGACTACGCTCGTGAACTGTACTCATCAGTGGCGTGCAAGATGGGAATTGCAGAGCCCAAACCCTTCACTGCTTCCTCTGGGTGGCTGCCAGGGCTTAGGAAACGGAACAAGATTACCAACATTAACATTGTTGGTGAAGAAGCCAGTGCTAACCGTGCTGCCGCCATGGATTTTCCTCCATTTTTACGAGAAGTTATGGAGGAAGGACAGTACACCGACGACCAGATGTTCAACATGGATGAATCCGGTCTGTTTTGGAAAAAATTACCTTCCAAGACCTTCGTTGTCAAGTCTGCCAGCAAGTGTCGTGGCCGGAAGTTGCAAAAGGAGAGCATCACCGTCCTGTTTACCACCAATGCCTCCGGTACCTGCAAGCTCAAGTTGTCGGTGATTCACACAGCCCGCAAGCCACACTCCTACAAGAACATGGATGTGACCAAGCTAAATGTCCACTGGCTAACCTCACATAAGGCGTGGATGTTCACTGGTCTGTCCCTCTCCTGGTTTGACGACTGTTTCGTTCCTGACGTGAAGAAATTTTGCTCGCAAAATAATGTGCCATTCAACATTTTGTTGCTGCTTGACAATGCACCAGGACACTCGCCCCTATTGTTGGATCGTCACCCCAGTGTAAAAGTGGTCTTCCTTCCTCCCAACACTACTTTGTTAATCCAGCCCATGGACCAGGAGTTGATATGCAACGTTAAGGCTGCATTCTCCGCAAAGAAGTTTAAGCTCCTGAACGACTACACCAACACCAAGGATGAGTTGCGTAACCTTCTGAGTGGTACAGATAGCGAGAGTGACGACGACGAGGATCCAGAACAAGAGTTGGCGGAGCATGAAGTGCGAGTTAAACAGTTTTGGAAAATGTTTAACCTAAAGAAAGCTGTTGATTTCTTGGTGGAGGCATGGGGGCAGGGATCCTGAGGTGACTGCCGACGAGATGTTGGAAGACGATGACGTCAGTGAGGAGGCAGGTGGTGCAGCAGCAAGAGAACAGAAGTTAACTCATGGTGATGTAAAGGATGCCATCGAGTTTGCCGAGAAACTAAAGCTCACCCTTTCAAAAGACCATGTCAATCACAAGTATGAAGTCTTCAATAACCTTCTAGACCAAAGTATGGAGCAGTACATCCAGATGTATCACGACCACATCAACACTAGCCGTCAGCGTAGCATCACCGACTTCTTCGCCCGCAACCCACCACAGCCAGCCCAAGTTGGTGATAGTGACAGTGATGGTGACTTTGAGGGGTTTGTCAGGGAGGCCTGACATCTGTGGTGGATAGTGATACAAGTGATTCACCTGAGGGCCACTAATCTGCCCTCTGCCTCGGAACCAGCCCCCATCCTCGTATGCCGAGCCATCTCTTCTACTAGCGTAAGTGTTAAACCTTGATTTTTCTTTTACCTGGTACAGTATATTATTCTCTTATCGATATTTCTCTTCTATATTATGTGTGTGTGCATACCATCATAAAATTAAGATACTGTTTTACTACAACGTACGTATTATGTTGGAAAAAGTGGAGTTTGGGGGTCGGCCCAGTCTCTATTTCAATTAATCCCATATGTTCTGTTATTTCATTTACGTGTTTCTCGTTTTACGCGGACCTCCACGGGTTCAATTGACCGCGTAAATGCAGACTATACTGTATACTGTATAGTACAGTACTGTATTTAGTTTATATTTAATGCTTTATTAATTCTATTACCGGTATACAGTACTTTGTATGTATACTTTTTCTGTGAGTTGGAACCAATTGTGCAATATCCCATTGAAATAATAGATTCAGTTAACAACATTTTCGGTTAACAACCGACTCTGTGGAACCAATTGTGTTCGTTAATTGAGGGACCACTGTAATTGCTTAAATAATGAAGAAAATATATAATAAATTGGCAACTGAACTACAATGAGGGCTGCCACAAGATTCTCAGATCGAGTTTTTTCATTATTTAAGCAAACACTTGTATGCAAACATTTGGAAATGTTCTCATAATCTAAAATAATGATGAATAGTTTATTATTTAAAAATTCTACTTTTGGTTTGTTTAATATTTATCCTGACATTGATACAGCCAAAAATAGATCCACCAATCACAATCACCTTTACATATAGCCTTACTTTATCAAGTATTGCCAGGTAAAAATGCTGGTATGAGACCCAGGGTGGAGTTGCTGGATCTTTGGCTGACTGTACAGTAATTTTACATTTTCAGCTTTTTCAGGGAGGATTTTATAATATGAATCAAACTAAAAGGGATTGTCTAGTATGGAAGGCAAATTGATGTTAGCCAAGTATAGGAAGTTTGTTTTAAACCCAACTAGAGTGGAGATATGAGTTCCCTCTTTATACACAAGTTCTTGCATACTGCAGTAAAATGAGTATGTTGTCAGGTGTACCTGCACATGTTGGAACAACCCTTTGGTGGAATAATATGCTACCAAGAGACTGGAGTAATACATAGCAGCTGAGTAAGAATCAGGAGATCAGCACTTGTCCAACCATCTTTATATTACAACAGGAAATGTCTTGTATTCATGAAAAATAAAAATAAACAACGTGATATGGTCAATTGCGCATGCTTATGCATAATGTGTGCAAATTGTGAAATAATTTTTCCCTAAATTACAGTATAGAAATAATGAAAGTTTCATATTACAGGTTGGTATGTGGGGTGGTGAAGGGGATAGCCAGGCAGTGATGTGGGCAGTTACAGACATGGAAGCAGTCCCTCCAGGGGCCATGTTAATAAATCCACAGGTAAGACGGTTCATCGTTATGGAATTTTAGAGCTTATTCACAATTAGTAGTAGATATACAGATTTAAGTTTAAAGTACAGATGCTATAACTTCCATTTACCATAAAGATAATAATTCTCCCCCTCAAAAAAAAAAAAAAAAAAAAAAAATATATATATATATACAGTCAACCCTCACTTTACGCGGTCACACATTCCGCGTTTCCACGTTTACGTGGTGCCCTGCCGGAACCCAGGATGCTCACATTCCGTGGTGCGTGTACCCCTTTACTCGGAGAGCTGCTGGCGAGCTGCGCCATTTTTGGATCAAAACCCCCTGCCATCCGCCATGTTGTGTAAGCGGCGCGAACATGGTGCACACAAGGTCGCCCAGTCATCAAAACATTACCAGTTCTTCACCCGCCACCCACCACAGCCGGCCCAAGTCAGTGATAGTGATAATTATGGTGAGGATATGGACTTATATGGACTTTGGGGGGTTTGACAAAGAGGCCCTGCAAGCCTCTGTGGTGGATAGTGATACAATTGATACAAGTGATACAGGTGAGGGCCAATAATCTGCCCTCTGCCTCGGAACCAACCGCCCATCCCCGTGTGCCCAGCCATCTTTTCTACTAATGTAAGTGTTAAAAAACCTAATATTATTGATATTTCTCTTAATTATTAATTGTGTGTGCATACCATCATAAAGTTAAGATAATATTTTTACTACAACATAGTTGTGTGTCGTCAAAAAGTGGAGTTTGGGGGTCGGCCCGGTCTCTATTTCAATTAACCCCATATGTTATGTTATTCACTTTACGCGCGGTACCCTGTGGGTTACATTAACCGCGTAAAGTGAGGGTTGACATATATATATATATAGGCTATATATATATATATATATATATATATATATATATATATATATATATATATATATATATATATATATATATATATATATATATATATATATATATATATATATATATATATACAGTACAGTATATATCATAATAATAATCTGGATGATGTACATGTAGTGTATTAAGTCTTGATTATTAAGGAACATCGTTGTTAAGGATTGAATATTTGTTTTACAGTGTTGAGTATGGTGAAACCTTTCTATTTGACACATTTTATAAACACAGTTACAGATGTGACTCAGCAAATAGAATCACACTCAAGTGTACTTGGGAGTTGCCCTCTTTAAATAGAAAACTACATTTGTGTGATCTTATTTTAATTTTTCTTTGTTTTAGAGTGGGCAGCCATACATGAACTCAGATGGATCTGTGTATCGTTTTGACCCAAATAATCCGCCTCAACTTAGTCCTAGTGTGAATGGCAGCAGCTCTGGTGGGGGCAACTCTCGTGATAAAGATTCGTCCTCTGAAAAGAATACAACTACTAGTCAACCTTCAGGTATGAAATGGTTTTCATGCATTATGCATTAACCCTTAAGCCCCGGGTTAGGGTGCTGCTAGCAGTAACCCTCCCCCTGCGGGGATAAATCGAGAACAAAAATTAAATAAATAAATAATAAAAAAAAATAATAAAAAATATATATATACTGTATATATATAAAGGGGCTGGAAAATAGGCGGACGTTCTGGAACGTCACCTGGGGCGTGCTAGTCGGACGTTCTGGAATGTCACCCGGGGCCTAAGGGTTAACAGTTGTTTATGTAAATATTTGTGACTACCTCACTAAGTTGACAGACAGATTCACTCATTTTTTTATTTAAGGAAGAGTATATGGTGCATGTCTAGAACAAAGTCTTACAAATGCAAATTGCTAATTTATTGAGAGTTTTATGAGCTCATAAGTTGCAGTAAATATGAAATCATATATAGATATATAAGTGTTTTTGAAATAGATGTAACTATTCATTATTATTTTTGTTATAGGTGGTTCAAATGGGAGTATAACTACATGTATAACTCAAATTCCGGCTGTATCCCCGTCCTCTCCACATGATATAACTCCACCAGCCTCAAATAGTGTCCGGAGTCCACCCAGTAAACAACATAGTCTTCAGCAATCCTCACCTGAACCTGCACAAAGTATGTTTTCCAATATTTTATTAAATTTTACCTCTACTGTATATCTATTATAGATGTCTCAATAAAAGGGTCTCAGAGTATGCGAGGGTTATGTTCCTGGCATATATTCAGGTCCCCTTTGTACAACTACTCAGAGTTATAAAAAGTACTAGATTTTGTTACTTAAGTAAAAGTATTGTTACATTGGCAAGATGTTACTAAAGTAGAAGTAAAAATGTATCTCATTCATAAAGTACTCGAGTACTGAAAGTAAGATGTAAAAACAAAATTATTAATTGCCTCAAATATTAACCCCTACCCCCAGGGCTAGGGTGCCGCTGCCCTTAGCCGTAAATTGACAAAAATCAACTTTTCCAAAAATATTTTTTAACCTTTTTAAATAATAAAACAATCAAAAAGAAGTAACAAAACTATTGACCCCCTAGAAACTTCCCTGGGGCAGCAGTGGCGAGTGAGATAAGGGGACAGTGTTGTTTTGACGGCGAGCATTCGTGGTTACTACACACTTAGCGGCCATTTTCTGCTTGCCTTTGTGTCCGGGATGGCCAGTAATGCATATACAGTCAACCCTCATTTTACGCGGTCCCACATTCCGCGTTTCCATGTTTACACGGTGCCCTGCCAGAACCCAGGATGCTCACATTCCGCGGTGGGTGTACCCCTTTACACGGGTGAAGTATAATTTTTTTATTTAGCTCATAAAATTCATACAAATTATCCGGCCAGAATATAATTTACATTGCTGGAATTCTAACAATTTGATGATCATTTTGAATATAAACATCATAGATTTTGCATTAGACATACAAATTTTAGATATAATGTTTACTCTGAGTAAATTTGTTATCTTTTGTGCAAAATATATGACATTTATATTCAAAATATGCCTGGTCTTACAAGGAATCCAGCAATGTCAATTATATTATCCTAACTTTAGTCTGATTTATTATTTATTACTAAAAAGGTAAACAGTCTGGTATTCCCACACATTCATCTGGTAGGGAGGGTTGGTGGGGGGTGGGAGGGAGGGACGGAGGGACCGGCGACCGACCACCTGGCACCACGGTGTGAAGAATATTTTTTTTTTTTATTAACTGAAGATATTTGTTTTAGCTCATAAAATTCATACAAATTACCCGGCCAGAATATAATTTACATTGCTGGAATTCTTACAATTTGATGATCATTTTGAATATAAACATCATATATTTTGCATTAGACATACAAATTTTAGATATAATGTTTACTCTGAGTAAATATGTTATCTTTTGTGCAAAATATATGACTTTTATATTCAAAATATTCCTGGTTTTACAAGGAATCCAGCAATGTCAATTACTGTATATTATCCTAACTTTAATCTGAGGTATTATTTAATACTAAATGTTAAAATCTAGTTTTTTCACCCAACCTTTCTCTTGAAGGGAGGATTGATGGGGAGTGGGGGGGAGGGTTGGGACGGACCGACCATCTGGCCCAGTTGGAAGAGGGAGGGAGGCAAGGTGGGGTACTTTCATTGACAGATAGTGTCGTGAAGAATATTTTTTTTTTTTATTAACTGAAGATATTTGTTTTAGCTCATAAAATTCATACAAATTACCCGGCCAGAATATAATTTACATTGCTGGAATTCTTACAATTTGATGATCATTTTGAATATAAACATCATAGATTTTGCATTAGACATACAAATTTTAGATATAATGTTTACTCTGAGTAAATATGTTATCTTTTGTGCAAAATATATGACATTTGTATTCAAAATATTCCTGGTCTTACAAGGAATCCAGCAATGTCAATTATATTATCCTAACTTTAGTTTGAGGTATTATTTATTACTATACCTGGTTTTCCCCCCAAAATTTCTCAGAGAGGGAAGAGCCAGCGAGTGTAGTGTGAGAAGAGGGGGAGGGAGTTGAGTCCATTATTTGAATGGACATTAACTTGGCGACTGTATTTCTCTATTTCTCTTAAGTATTAATTGTGTGCATGTACCATCATAAAATTAAGATGTTATTTTTACTAGAACATAGGTATTGTGTTGGAAAAAGTGGAGTTTGGGGGTCAGCTGGTCTCTATTTCATTTAATCCCATATGTTATGTTATTCACTTTACACGTTTCTCACTTTCCGCGGTACCCTGTGGGTTACATTAACCGCGTAAAGTGAGGGTTGACTGTACTGTATTTACTGATAATAGTTATTTCCGATAAATAATTCATTTAGAATACTTTATTTGCATTATTTTTCATAAAAAGTGCTCGGCAATACACACGCTGTCTGTCGCCAGGCTGTCTGGCTGTCTTTGTGTTTGGTAGACCAAGTAATGCATATAAATAATTACCGGAATAATAATTCCACAGATAAATACATTAACATAATCATAGCATTATTTTCCAGTAATACTACACTACAATTCAACTGCACTACTTTTAGCAATATTACTTTGATACAACATGATAAAATAGACAAACAATGAAAATGAAACAAACAAAAGTAGGTACTTACATTCAGGAAGCTTCCCTGTGGCCGAGCGTGTGGCGTGACACGCAAATAGTCATGCTGGAACCCAATAACCCACACTAGGCATTCAAACAATGCCGGGAAAAAGGTGCGCATTCCGGAACGTCAACCGGGGCGCCCTAGTTGGACTTTCCGGAATGTCAACCAGGGCGTAGGGGTTAAAATAAATCCACAATAAATTAAAAAAAAAGTTAACTAAATATAAAAATAAAAGACATATAACATTACACATGTTTATTTGCAAATCTTTTTATTGAGATTAATCAATAACCGATTCTCAAAATTCTGGTTGTTCAATCAGGATCTTTTAGGCCTAAATATAAGCCCAGCATGACCTACTGGAAGAGACTACATTCAAGTTGTCTACCTACAATCCATCGCACGGATAGTGAATGGGCTGAAAATACTGTATATCCATCCAACACTATTATCACTTTCTTCCTTATCCACACAAGTATCATTGACTATAACGTGGACTTAAGGTCCACAGGCATAATGTTGTCTGCTCGCAATAGGTTAGGATACAGATCTATCTGAGATGGGGGATGACCCTTACTTCTCTTCCTGTAAACTCTGTAATTGTCCCAACTGTAACACCCTTCAACATAACTGTATTGCTTTCACTGTCCCACTGTCAGGGACCTCCTACCACATGGATACCGTATATCTCGGCTTATAAGACGGAATTTGAACATTAAAAAAATCTGCCCAAAGTTAGGGGGTCGTCTAAACCACCAAGTATAAAATTCTTACCTCTTAAATATTGTGGTTTAGTGTGTCAAGAGTGGTGATGGAAACATCGTAAGCCACTCACAAGGTCTTACCACTAATTATTTTATACTGAAACTTACGTTTGGCAAGCTGGATTCAAATTAAGATTACCGGTATATTAAAATAATAAAAATGTATTATAAACCTGTCTAACATACCGTAAAAGAGAATTATACCCCTGTAATAAACACAGCTATCATCACACACCCCTCCCCACGCCCCCCCCATTTGCCAGTGAGGAGACAAGAAAGGGAAAGTGACCGCGAGATTGGGCTATTTTTAGCCGTGGAGGTGGTCAGTAATGCATATCGGTATATTTACTGATAATAATACTTCTCCTATAAATAATTAATTTAAAATTTATTTTTTTACAAGAAATATTCAGTAAATGACTGCATTAATTCTTGAAACTACTGACAGTTAAATACAGACGCTTAAGTGACGTCACTAGTGTTTACACTACACCAGCTGGTAACATTTGATGCCATTGCAGTACTCCCTCTTTATCGACGGGGGTTACGTTCTGTAGACGGCCGTCGATAAAGAAACCGTCGATACCGTGATGGTTACGTAATTTTTCTAACTATTATTAGCATATGTTGAATAAATGTACCTTTAAGCATTAATGCGTTTCCTTTACACATAACCTTAAATAATAGTGTATAAATAATAATATAATAAGTGGACAAAAATACTAGCAAACTTACGATTTCATTTATTGAAGTGAACATCGGTCCTTACAGTAAACAATACAGTGTACAGTATATACAAGTGTGATGATTGAGGCTTATTAAAAGCCTGACCAGTCAGATGAGTATGATGAGTCAAGGTCTGCATCTTCTTGAGGGGTGTGGGCAGGTACTGCGTCTTGTTGTTGTGAGGTGCCGGCAGCTTCTACGTCTTGTTGTTGTGAGGTGTCGGCAGCTTCTGCCTCCTGTTGCAGGATGCCGGCAGGTTCGGCGATGGCAGGCACTCGGCGACTGAAGAAGTTGGTGATGGTGGTCTGTGCTTTCTTGCTTCTCATTTCCCTCTGCAGTTCTATATATGGCAACATAACATTTTCAATAGCTCTCTTTGCTTTAAGGGACCTATCAAGGGAGGGATCAATGTCATAGAGACGAGCAGAGAGGGCCTTACTCATTCTTATTACTTCACCAAGATTATCTAAAGTTAAGTTCTTATTTTCATCATCACTCACTTCATCTTCTGTTTCATCCTGCAGCTCCACTAATTGTTCTAGTTCATCACTTGTAAATGGATCCCCAACATTTCCCAATAACTCTTCTTGCACCTCTGCCGCTGTTAAGTCAGAGAACCCTTCACCTCCAACTTCATTTGCCATAGTTATTATGTTGCGTAACTGAGGCTCGGCTGTTGGGAACCCTGTGAATGTTGGGACAATTTCAGGCCACAATTTTTTCCAACATGATCGGACACAGTTCTGCGACAGTTCATTGTGGCTTTCAGCGATGAAGTTTATGCACTGTGCAATATCAAATTTCTTCCACATTTCTCTGGGTGTCACATCAGCATCCTTATCAAGGCACTCACGAATCATGCTGAAAGTCTTCTCTGCATATTTAGCCTTAAACACGACAATGACTCCCTGGTCCATTGGCTGGATGATGGAGGTGGTGTTTTTTGGCAGGAAAACCACCTCAATGTTGGGGTGGGCAGTCTTGAGTTCTTCAGAGTGGCCAGGGCAAT